CTGCTTATGGACAGTTGTAAGTTGCCATGTGGGTGGCAGGAACCAAGCCTGGGTCCTCTGCAAGAGCAGCAAGTCTCTTAGTTGCTGAGCCATCTTTCCAGACCTTTGTCCACAGCTTTAAATTCCCTCAAGTTCTTTTCTTTGCCTAACTGAACTTTTTTTTTTAAACATCTGTCTACTGGTTTTTTTTTTTGTGTGTGTGTGTGTGTGTGTGCTCTGGTTTCCCACTATAAACCTGACATCAAGCAATAACCATGCCACAGTTGAATGTTGTGCTACATTGAATTTCTCCCAACAAATTAAAAATCCATGGCTTTTGAATGTAGCTTCATTTACAATTTGCAGGATATGAGCAGATCGGGCCACTGATGCCAGTGTAACAAAAAAGGCCTTTAGCCCATTTTCCAGTAGGGTCCTTTTGGTCTGAAACCTCGAGAACAGTCTCTACTGTCCATATTTTGGCATTCCGATCTTCCTGACTCCCACCAGAACAGTTGGTTAAGCTTTGCTTACAGCATTTCCTGACTGAGCATTGCTCCCCTTATGTATAATAATAGCACCTCTCAAGTAAACTCAGTTTTCTAGAACCCAAAGACTAAAACTTGATCCCATGGTTTCTCCTGTCAATGTCCTGAATTATCTGATCATTTTTAATTGATAATAGATGGAAATGATATCTTGCTACTTAATTTGCATTATTTTATGCATTAATGTAGATTTTTCTCATTTGTTTATTTACTAGGTAAATTAGTGTTTAAGAAGTGTTTGAGGTGTTGCTTGTTTACTTATTGGAATGTTAATTCTCTCTGTTCTCTATATTCTATATATGTGAGTGTGTTTGCTGGACATTGTTCCCAGGACCTCTTACATGCTCGACAAGCTATCTTCAAGCTGCATCTCAGCTCCTTGTGTATGTTCTGTAATATTGGCTGCTCTTTACCAGGTGCTTTCTATGTGCCTATATGTTTTCGTTGTTTGGTTTTGCTTTGTTTTTCTCTGTGACAAGGCCTCTCTGTGTAGCCCCAGCTACTCTGGAACATGCTTTGTAGACCAGGCTTCCTTCAAACTCACAGAAATCCATTTGCCTCTGCCTCCCACATGCTAGAATTAAAAGGCTGCTCCATCCTGTCTGGCCCCTATGTTCTAACAAAAGATTTATCTTAATTTTTAATTGTGCGCACACGTGAATAGAAATGTGGTTGTCTGTGAACTCTAGAAGAAATCATGGATTCCTGGAGTTGGGGTTATAGGCAGCTATGAGCTGTCTCTCATGGGTTCTGGGAACTGAGGTAGGGTCCCCTGGAAGAAGGAGAGCTTCTCGTAACTGTTAACCCTAAGGCTTGTGTTCTTAAACGCTGTACTGTGATATCTGTCCTTCCATTTACTATCAATATTCCATATAGCAATGCATTACTAATGGAATTATAGGCATGTATACACTATCTATAGATAATAACCCTAGTTAATGGCTCTTGAGAGTTTAAGATATGCCTTACTAAAGTTTTGCAACTAAGTATTGTTGCTGCTTTCATTGTTTTGATGAGGAAATGGAGAGTTAGATAGGTTATGTAACTTCACTGTGGTCATAGAGATGACGCAGCTTAGCTTCAGCATTCTGAATCCTAACAGCTGTTATGAATTTTCCTGGGTGCACAAAGCCTTGTATTATGTGTTTAAATATCTAGTGAGGTGGTTTGGAATGGTAGGTTTTTTGTTTTTATTTTGTTTGTTTGTTTTTCGAGACAGGGTTTCTCTGTCTGGCCCTGGCTGTCCTGGAACTCACAAAGATCCACCTGCATCCGCCTCCGCTGTGATTAGAGGCGTGTGCTATACCACCACCCAGCTTGGTTGGTGTTCTAATAACGGAACCTAAAAGTCATCCTTAAGCCTACTATAATACTTGCTGGATTTATTAGAAACGATTTTTTAGGTGCTTTATTCTTCGTGACAGTATGCTTGCAACTACCACTTTACTTTTAGAATGGAATCATGTCATTAGTCTTGCTGGTTTTGATATTTATTATTGGCCTTTAGTGTGATGGTGACAAATATAATCTTTATTTTGTGGGAGACGAAATAAATGGAACTCTTGCTGCATAAAAGCAAGGACATACACTTTCTGTCCATGCTCTTGAGTTGAAGGCATTTTTAAGGTTCTATTTCGGCAACACTTAGCTCACATTTGGCAGGGTGAATTCTCTCTCCGTCTTTATCAAGTATGACATCTCAGATACGCTTCTTAGTTTGGTTGAGGGATGTGTCTAGATAGACTGTTTTATTTTTTTTTCTTCAGTGTGTTTAGTGGCTGAAGTAGAACAATACTTAATTCTTACGATTTTCTTTCAAATATTTATTGTGTCTTTTTTGAATATTTATGTTACCTGCCAAACCACTTATAATTCTGAAAACGTCAGATCACGGAGGGAAGAGATGTCTTACTAATATAGTATTAAAAAAGCATTTTGTTGTGCAGGATGCTGTGTAAAATTCTCGTTCTTAAACTATCAATATCCTTCAACAGTTACAGTTAACTGTTTTTAATAAAGCAGTGCTATTAAAAACTGGTAATAAAAAGTAGGTGCTTGTTTTTGTGCTAATACTAATTACTGATAATGCATGCTTCTGTTTGTCACTCATTCCGTGGCACTGTACCAATCAGTGGGTGACTGAGACTCAAGCACTTATACATGTAAATGAATTACCTTTTTTCCCTCCTTTTTTTACTTAAGTGAGTCACGATGGAAGGCAACTCTAGGTCATAAAGATCTCGTCTCTTTAATGCTAATGAAATGTCTCCGCCCTCTGCTTGCAGACTACCCTTATTGGTAATCTGTAGTCTTGTCTTTTGTTCCTGGTGGTAATGAGATGCTGGGTGCTGAACACCCCAGCTCCCAAGAATGTGGGGCCAATTGTCTTCTGTTCACTTACACTGTAAAATTACTATTCCCCAGGAAAGCTGGACAAGTGTGGGGCCAAGATCAAAGAGTGTACCCTGGCATCCAGCTGCACCAAGTGACTCCTGCTTTAGTAATTAGTCATAGCTTCACCAAGTTAATTTTCTCAGCTAGCACAAAAACATTCCATAATGTAAAAAGAGCCAAGTGGAAGGCGACCGCAAGCCTTGGCTGTCTGTTCCATCCATTTCTGGTTGAAGCTTTTGCACTGTATTACCAGCTGACTATTCTACTCTGAACCTCGGCTCACACAAGCTATTTTTCATTTTTTTTTGTTCCAAAAATCATTATGGACATTGTCAAAGGACTGCCTTTATTTTTAAGTATTAAGTAACATTTCACTGATTATTTTTATTTTAAGGTAAATGCATGGGGTGGGTAGACCTGGCTTTAAAATTGAATTGAAAAATGCAGTGGCTGCTGAATTTTGCAAGCTCGTTCTGTCCCCTCATCAGAAATGCCACTGGTGTTTAAGCGTTTGAAAAGAACCTTCTCTATGAATGTTTTTGTGGAAGCAAAATTTGTCCGTGATCCTGAGCTCAGTGGAGCGCCACCAGCAGCTCTTTCTTCTTTCTTCTCTTCGGTGAATCTGTGAAGTTCCAGGAGTCCTTTTATAAGGCATTTTCAGTAGTTTCTCTTAGCTAATATGTTCTTAAGTCATTGCTTGAGACAAAAAGAACTCCCGCCGCCCCTCGTGGTTTGGTTTTGTTCAGGTGGGTAGAAAATGCTTCGCTGTCTCAGTAAAGATCCGGGCCATAGATGGGAGAAGGAGGTTAGACCTGGGCAACTCAGGTTTGACTGGCAGTGTTACAGTGGGTCAGTCGGTAACTTGTCATTTCTTGATCAAACAGGAAGATTTCCATGAGCTTCCATATCCTGTAAGAGAAGGAAAATAAAACGTGATGAATTAGTTAACACATGTAAGGCAAATGCTGCTGAGAGTCTTTGAAATTTGCTAGTAAAGAAAGTCGTAGTGTTTTTCTCCCGGGACGTCTGAGACCCATGTTGGCACTCCGCAGCTGCAGCGGTCAGTGGGCATCGTTAGGTTGTGTGTGGCGTTTCCCCCCTCGTTTGCTGATTTCTTTGCGAACTGTGAAAGCCTCTTTAAAAAGTTCCCATTAAGTGGACTTGTCGATTATGAATTTGAACAAGAAATCATTTTAGGAGCAATGAGTAGTGGCGCTCCTGTCGCCTAACGGAGTTTTGCCTGCACTGTGCCCTGTTTTATCTGCACTTTTGGTTTTGCCAGGGGTTGTTCTAAAGCACCATATTAACCGTCCTTGTAAGGGATGGATTTATTTTTATTTTATTTTTATTTCTTTTTAGCAGGAATATTTGTGTTCGGGAGGTTAGCAGAGGCTGGCATGCTGGAAGTGACTGCGGTGCCTTTGGATTATTCATGGACAGTAATAGAAGGCACTTAAAAAGAACAATGAAATTGCTTATTTCTGTGATGGACCATCTGTTGAATTGTTTTGTGCAACAATTGCACAATAGTATCTATGTCACATCATTCTATTTTCAACAGCAGCTGATTATGTCTCACTGGCTACTTGTCCTTATTTCTGAAGTCCCATGACCATTAAAAGTCACCTTTCCAGGGACCTTTGCCAGAAAGGTATTAGGAATTGCAAATAGCCTGTGTATTTTAATGTTGTTTTTCTTACTCCCCCAACTTTTGTGTGCGTGGGGGTTGGTGGTAGGGGTAGCGGTATAAGGAGAGTTGGTCATGTTTTAATTAATTGGATTTTCTAAATGTTTAGGACAATTTTCTATGCTTTCCACATGTAGTTGATAAAGAAGTTAGCACAGAACCATTTGATAATTTGGGTAAAAATGATTGACTTAAAGCAAAGGAAGTGTGAGCTTAAGAGACCGTTCTCTGGCCTTTCGTACTTTTAATTATCTACTCTTCTCTTCTGGATGATAATTAGAATTTTCCTCTTGGAATTCACTTCCATCTAAAAAAAAAAAAAAAAGAGCCATTAGCAAATTTGTTAGAGCAGAAGTGAAATTAAAATAAAACAAATGTTTTGTTGTCCGCAGGTCACTGACATTGCTGACGCTATGATTCTGAAGCAGCTTTTTGAAAATCTGTTCAAAAACGGGGTCGTCGTTGTGGCAACGTCCAACAGGCCCCCGGAAGGTAATACCAGCATCGTGCTTCCCCAGCCAGTTAGATGGAGACTTAAGACGTTTTCAGAAACCCACGTTTCTGTAGTGATTTTCTTGTGTTTGTAAATCTGATGACTTCACTTACCCTTGGTTTTATAATAGGCTTAATTCAAAAAATCAGTCTGACTTTGCTTTTAAAAACATTTCTATTTTTTAGCAAGCTGAGCATAGTTGATCCCCATGCCGGATATAATCCCCCAACACTAGACACATGATATATATGTATAAAAATGCAAGTCTTTATGGCTGCTTTTTATGCCATAAAAGAAAGCCCAATGAAATGAAAAACTCTTAATTAAATTTTAGAAAAAGATGAAGCTCACTTTCATAAGTAGTTTTTTTTTTTTTTAACTACTTCACTTAATTTATCATTTCTAAAAAGGCACTTGTGGCTTATTAGGAAAGTATTTAAGAATTAAAATACAAGTAGTAGTTAGACAAAAGTAACATGTTTAAAATCTTGTATTATTATTATTTTTTTTTTAGCTCATCATGTGGTCAGTTAAAGGTCAGGAATCCAAAACAATACTTTACAGGGTACTGTCAGGTCCTTGCTCGGACGTTCCTTTCCAGAGGGGCCCAGCCTTGTCTCGCTGATTGAGCAACTAGACCTCTTAATCACCTGGTACTTTCTTTTACCTTTCTCTCTCTTTTTTTTACAACACACTTATATTTTACTTTACTTACTGTGTTTTCGGCTCATTGTCTGCCCAGAATGATGCAGCTTTCTGAGGGCACTGGTGGGCGTCTTTTATCTCCATGCATGGATGTGGGTGTGTCCTAGGTACTTGGGTGTGTGGCTGTGCCTGGCACACAGATGGGTTTCAGTGAGAGGCCTCAGGCTGGGTATGAAATTCGTGTGTTTCTGCAAGGATCCCTAGCTGCAGTGGAGCATAGATTGTAGGGCTGAATTTTTTAGACTGGGAATAAGGACTGAGAAGGACCCAATCCTTAGATGGGACTGTGGTAAGATATGGTCAGATGCTGTTTCTGTTATAGGCAGAGTCAACAGGGTTTATGGATGCACTGGATCTTAGGGAATGGAAAACAGAGACAAAGCAAGCAGTCTACCACTGAGCTCTCTCCCTGTCCTTCAAGAGCTTTATAAAAAATTAAGTTACTGGGCATGGTAGTACAAACCTTTAATCCCAGCCCTTGAGGGGGGTGGGGGGGGGCAGAGGAGCTCTGTGAGTTCAAGGCCGGCCTAGACTACAGGCCAGAACTATACCCAGAGAAACCCTGTCTTGGAAAACAAACAAAAAAAAAAAAAAAGAAAGAAAGAAAGAAAGAAAGAAGGAAAGAAAGAAAGAAAGAAAGAGAAGGAAAAACAAAAAGCCAGAAAGGGGGAGGCGTTGAGAGTTGGGGTGGGTTGGATGAGATGCCCCTCTTAGGCTCGCATATTAGATGTGTCAGCACACCCCAGACCTAGAGTCTCTTTTCTCTACCTGCTGCCTCCGGGTCAGAATGTAATACTCAGCTACTGCTCCAGCACCATGCCTCCCTGCACGCCATCACACTCCCTGCCGTGATGACAGCGGCCTAAACCTCTGAAATTGTCATCAAGCCCCCAGTCGAGTGCTTTCCTTCCTAAGACTTGCCCTGGTCACGGTGTCTCTTCACAGCAATAGAACACTGCCTAAGACAAGAGAAGCAGAGGGAGACGCCTGATGTGGACCTGTAACCTCCACACATGTGTGTCCTATTGTGTACATGCAACCCCACACATGTGCATGTGCAGGTAGCACTGCACGTGCAGACAGATGCTAGCTCATTCGACCAAGTGAAAATGATGTTTGCCTTCACTATAGCTGGCTCAGCAATGCTATCAGACTTTCTTCGTTTAATGGTAGAGCTATGCTCCTAAGTAGCAAGTACTAATCTAGGGAGTTCTAGCGAGGATTGCTGAAGGAAAAGTTGTACTTGGTGGTGTAGGTGTTCAGTAAAGCAAGGCAGTCAGACGGAGAGGCCAAGGGACATTTTGGAGCTCAGAGTTTGTAGGTGTGAACAAAGTCCCTGCTCTGTCAGATGTGCTGAAAGTGAGCTGGAGCTACCATTCAGAGAAGTCCCGGTGACTTCAGGGTGCAGAGGTGCAGCGGATGGACACTAGCCAAGTGACAGCCTTTTCTCCACAAGCTCTAGACTATCTCCTATTGGCAGGGTGGACAAAAATCATCTATATTTATCATTAGGTAGTTTTGGCTAGCCTTGCACTCACTACATAGCTTAAGTTGGCTTTGTTTGTTTGAAGAGACAGGGTTTCTCTGTGTACCCTTGGCTATCTTGGAACTCACTTTGTAGACCAGGCTAGCTTCAAACTCAGAGATCCACACCCGCCTCTGCTTCCCTAGTGCTGGGATTAAAGGCGTGCACCATCACTACCTTGGTGCCAGGCTGGCTTTTAACCGTTTGTGGTCTTCCTGCCTCAGTTTTTTGAGTGATAGAATCAAGTATCTTAATATTTTAATGCAAAGGCATGGTAGTACACACCTGTAATCCAGAAGGCTGAGTGAAAGTTAAAGGCCAGCCTAGGCTATGGAGTAAGTTCTAGGTCAACCAGATTCATAGGGAGAGACACCATTTCAACAAAACAACAACAAAATTCTTCCACACCCATCAAATTAAAAATTTTAACACAAAGAATATGACACATATGTGAATGTAAATATGCTTGTTGATATGTGTAAGTTCATTTGTGTGTGTGCATACTTTTATTGATGAAGAAAAGGACAGACTATTAGGAAAAGACAAAATGATAACAGATCCATGGTCTCATGGGCTGGGCTAGGAGATTTTGATAAAAAAACGGGCAACAGGAGAGTATTTGTTGGTGTATTGGAATTCTTCTGTATCTTGATCACGATGGTGGTTATACGTGTTAAAACTCACGCAACTGTATTCCATCCACAAAAAATAATGTTATCCTGTGTAAGTTGAGAATAACTGCTCTGGCTTGTTTCTCCTTGATGGCTGTGAATGATCTAACTGCCCCAGTTGGAGGTTCTTCTTTCCAACCCTGAGAACACGCAGCTTTTCCTGCAGGTTATGGCCTTGGGCCAGGGCCCCAGATTAGTGAGCTACCCAACACTGGGAAGAGTAGCTTGGGGCTGTGATCCTGCGCTGGTGTGGTGGGGAACAGGAGGGTTGCCCGTGAGTCTGAGGCTAAGTTACATAACAAGTTCCAGGCCAGCCAGGGTTACACAGGAGACCTTTTCCTTTTCCAGCCCTCTAGATAGCACATTTCTCAGATGGCTGTAGACCAGCTGGGGAAAGACAGTTCTTGGCAGGGAGCTAGGCAATGCTGAGTGGCGGGAAAGAGAGTAGCGTATTGGAGGCGCTCAGAAGACAACCGGTATGACCAGAAGCAGGGAAGTATAGGATAAAGCTGGAGCAAGATTTTGTAAAGCAACAATAAGGATTCTGGATTCTGTTGTAAGAGATAACCTAAGCCACTGAGCCTCAAGCAGGACTGACAAGATCCCACTCGGGGAGGCGGCTTTGGCTATAATTTGACGAAGGGGTTTCTGTGTTCAGGATAGTAGTGTGGCAGACCCAGGTAGACCTGTTAAGAAGCTTCTGTAGAATAGCAGGCAGGAAGTGGCTATGTCTTGGTACCAGACAGTGGTTCTCCGATGGGGACTGTTTGGCTTGAAGGATATTTAGCAGTGTCTGGCTGTTCTACCCAAGTGCAGGGCACACTGGCAGGCAGCAGGGTTGAGGCTGGGACTGCTGCCAGAGACATTGTTAGTGCAAAGAGCTATTCTTCATGCAAAGAACCACGTGGGCCAACATGTCAGGAGCGTGCAGAATAAGAAACCTGGTATAGGGTAATGGCAGGGAATTTGCAGGGAACAGTGAGGATAGAAACCCACAATTAAAATTTCACGTACATAATTTCCATGTTTTATGTTCTGAAATGAAGCTTTTCTGTTTTTATAATACTCCAAATTTTTCTCATTTCATGATATTCCAGTAAAAAAGAAAAAAAAAAGTAGAATTAATTGGATGGTGACTGAACAAGTGAGCAGGTCAGTAGATCAAATTAGTTAAAAATTCAGAATTAACTTAATGATTAAACTTGCAAACTCTCCTTTAAAAAACAGGAGTACAGTGTTAAAGGGAAATGGACTGTGTGAGTCGAATGACTGTTCTTCATTATCAGTATCATGAAAGCTGTCCCCAAGATTGAGCCTAGAGCTGTAAGGAGGACATTAGAATTTGGTTTTGGCTTTTTAAAAACTTGAAAATATTTATTATTATTACTATGATTATTATTTTATATATATGGTGTTATTTTATGTGTATGGTGTCTGTGCACTACCCGCATGCCTGGTACCGTTGGAGGCCAGAAGAGGGTGGTGGATCCCCTGGAACTGGAGTTACAGACGGTTGTAAGCCACCATGTGGGTGTTGGGAAGCAAACTCAAATCCTCTGCAAGAGCAGCCAGCGCTGTTGCTGCTGATCCGTATGTGTGTGCAGGCACATAAGGGTGCTTGCTGTGGTGAACATGTGGAGGTCTGTGGACAACTGGTGGGGATTTGTTCTCTCCGTCTACCGTATGGTTCTCAGGAATTGAACTCAGGTCGTCAGGTTAGGAGGAAAGTGCCATTACCCACTGAATCACCTTGTTGGCTCAAATTTCTGTTTTCTATGTACATTTTATAATAAAAATGAATTAGGTAGCATTACAGTGTCCTGACTAGAATAACTTGAATAATCCATTTATTTTAGATCACCAGGCAACACTGTTATGGATTTTTGTTCAGATCTTTGTGGTCATCGTAAACACAGGATAACACTGTGAGTTAGCTACCAGTGTGTGCACAATCACATTTACGCTATTTATTTTACCACTTAGAGGGAAAAAAATTAGCTGGGTGTGATGGTTTAATATCCCATGCTTGAATTCCAGAATTTGGGGGGCAGAGGTGGGCAGATCTTCGTGAGTTTGAGACCAGCTGGGCTACAGAGCA